GTTATGGGTGAAAGCAATGGATCTGGATTTCTCAAACATCTAGCAGGCAATTTTGAGGACTCAAAAGGAAACTGATTTAAGGGGAGATGATTTTCAGCATGCTGTAGGCCACTTTGGCTATAAAAGGGTTATTAGGCAAGACTTGATGCATTCCAAATCACTAAAGCTTGTATTTCCAATCTTGGCTATGTTTTATCCTAACCATCACCCTGAATGCTACCTTTTATTCAGGACAAGTTGTCTTTTCAGCAGTGTTTAAATGCATTCTTAATGTGAATTATCATGTTTTATGGTAGAGCATCTGAAAAAGAAAGAGGCTTGAAGAAAGCTTTTTGCTGGCAATAAATTAGATCCAAGTTTCTGTGATAAGCTGTAATGGCTCTTCTGAGCAGATGTATTTTATCAATTTAAGAACACAGACGGAGAAAACATGTACTGCGTTCAGACTTTAAAAAAAGTATTTTCATGTTAGTGTGTTCACAGTCAACAATAAATCCAGAGAAGCTATGATTGTCTTCCAGTTAGACATGGTGCAGCTTGTGCTGTGTCTGTTATTTATATACAGGGTGACAAAGGCACTTTTCAAGCCACAAGTTGCTCCTTAACACAAAGCTGGGTACTGTTGGAAATGATGGGCTGTTGGCCCAGGTTTGGTCAAGGGACAAAGCATGCTCCCAGGCAGATATGCTCCCACCCACATGCAGGTTTATGGACCCCCAGGACACAGGAGAAACCTCTCTCCATTATCTATAATCCAGTTTCCTGACTCAGGAGCTTTCTCAGCTGCTGTGGTTGCTGCCACATGTGTGAGATATGTCAGGAACACCAACTTCCTCCTCCTCCTCTTCTTCCTCCTCCTCCCAAATGTCTATGCTCCCAGCCCCCAGGGAGAGAGGCTGGCATTATATGCCAGCTTGGGCTGTTCTGGAGTTGCAGCTATGTCCTTTGTGCCAGGAGCTCATGTGTGTCTCACCTGACTCAGAGGGGTGGCCCTGAGGCTGGTAAGGCTGTAGGGGGTGTGGAAAATCCCAGGCAGGCTGTCCAACCCTGGAGTGCTGATCCGCTGAGAAATCAATACAGTGCCACTCTCCCTGGTGTTTCTGTGGCATTTGTCTGAGCTTCTTCAGAAGAAGCAGGTCCACCTACCCTGGATTTTATACAGTGGGTGTGGAACATGGTCTTTTCCCTTGCCTTGTCATCTTCCTCTTTTTTACAGTGCCAGCCTGTAAGTGAGGTGTTTTGCTCACCCCTCAGCTATACAGGTTGATGAACACCATCAACCAAAATTTTTCTTGATTTTTAATTTTTTTTTTCTTGAGAAGAGAGTATTTTGAAGAGAAGTCTGCTCAGTTTTGCACATATTTTTATCTGTTTATCAACTGGGCTGTGAAAATAGTCAACAGAATTTTCATAACTTATTCTCATGAAAAGACATTGGCAAACAAGGGAATGTTTTGCTAAACACAGGGTTGATTTCCACACCTCTGTAGAGGATTGGGCACCCACAAATTTTGGCAGATCTCTAGGACCTTACAGACACAGATATGCATCTTCTGTGAATGGAAAATTTTCCAGTCCTACTGGCAGACTAGTTTGTTAGAATCAGAGAATTAAGAGAACAGAAAAGCAGCTACTTTGAATTTCATTGTTTTCTAGCATGGCTTTTCTAAGGAAGCAAGTCTTATGCAATCACATTGGCTGCCTGGCTTGAATCTCTCAATGTTTGAATCCTTTGGTCATTTTTAGACACATTTTTCAGCACATTTTTTCAGAGGAGGAAATGTCTGAGATGTCATTAAATTCAATCAGTCATGTGAAAATTAGAGTCTCCATTAAAAAAAATAAATAAATAAAAAGAGAAAAAAAGTGTGCTCCAGCACAGGCAATGTCTGCAACATGATTGCAGATGGTGTTAACTGCTGGAACACCCACATGAGAGAGAGAGACTTTATGAATGTCCCAACCACAGGAAAAGCTACCCTGGGAGTTTGAAATCAACTACAAGACACAGATCTTCAAGAAGCCAGATTATGTTGAACTAGGGTGTGTGAAGGGGTGGCTCTCAAATGTCTGCATTTTTCCCATGCCAAAGCCATCCCTGTGTTGTTTAATTTGCTCTGCATCCCTGAGAAATTTCCTCAGATCTCAAATAACTAAGAGAGCTTTCCTTGAGCAAGGTAATGGATGCCAATAGATGTGCACATCCAGAGCACACAAGGAATTTTTCAGAAACCCTGCTGAGCTGAGGACAAGCAGAGTGAAGAGGCATTTTCTCTCTTCATTGCCTCATTCAGTCTTGTCCCACCCACAGGCAGGCAGACCTGGGCCAGGAGGTTTCCAGAGGAGCAGTGCTGATGTGACACTTTGCTGGTCACAATGCTTCCTCCTCCAGCTGTGTTTGTTTCTGTTTCACTCTGCGGTTGGAGCAACAGGGGTTGTCCAGGGTTTGCACTTTCCACTTCAGTTCCTTCTTTGTGTGCAGAGGAAATTTGCAACTTCCGCTCATGACGTGATGTGATCATGACTCTCTTTATGGAAACCCTTCCCTAGTTTCCCTATTCCCCTTAAAGCTTAACAAGAGTGACCAAACCAGATTTGTTCAAACTAGATTATTTGGCACAGAGTGGAGCAGCTCCACCAGGAAATGCTGAATCTTTTAGCAGAGTAGCCAGCAGCCTTGTGGTTCAGAAATCACTGGGGAAGGCCCATGTTAAAATCCCCAATCTGCCTGATTTGGAGAGGGAAGTTGAAGCAAGGCTGTCTGCTGGAGTGCCCCTTTCTGCCAGGGTGACAGCTGCTGTCCTTTGTGTTTGGGATGATAAGATTTGAACCAGGTCTAGATTAGAAAATCAGAGAAATGCCCATATAATGTGTAGGAGAAGAGGCCTGCCAAAGAAAACCAGAGAATCCGAGCTTCGCTTTACCTTGCCCCTACCCTGTCCATCTCAGTGCTGTTTGTACATGGTCACAGACAATTAGATCCAGGATAAAATGTGAAAAGCACACAAAGGATCACTGGTATGAGAGGTGGTTTAGCATTGGACTTGTCAGTGTTAGGCTTGTGGTTGGACTCTATGAACTTAAAGGTGAAACTAAATGATAATGACTCTATGATTCTCTGTCTGATCTGTCTGCTCTTCTGCTCTTTGGCTGTGGGGCTGGGTCATCGCAGGCATATTTACCCACTGAGATGAGCTTTTCTTTTCCTCTCTCTAGGCTCTGGTGCTCCTCAGGACAAGTACTGCCTCTCATGGTGGGTTTCTGTGAGGCCTGTCACCATGGGCAATGTTGTGAGACCTCATACCATGATTCTAAAATGCAGAATAACAGCTCCTGTAGAGTCTGTTCATTGCCTGTAAAGGCCTGGTTTGTGTCTAAATAGGGTTGGGAGGAGATATTATAGAAGCTGCATAAAAAACTGCTTGCTTCTCCCTGGGCTGAATAGCCTTCTGGGTGGTCAGAAACTTTGCTGGCAGGGAAATGTGACATTTGCCTTTTTCTCTTTACTAGATTTGGCCCCAAGGGGCAAGAGCCAGAGGCTGTGGTTTCTGCAGTTGAAGATTAGTTTTCTAAGTCACTGTCCCTGGCAGATAGGCATATCTACATATTTACTCTGGAATGTGATGCTGGAGATTCTATGCTGTCAAGGTGCTCTCAAGGAATAAAAATTACACCTTTTAATTTTACATTAAGATTGGAGCAGAAATTTCATTTCCCCTTAGATGCAATCTCTGTTTAAAACAAGCTCTCCATGTACCAAGCAAAATCCTGGCTTTGGGTCCCAGAAGAAAATAAAAAAAAATCATAATTGTACACCACCATTCTCTTCATTTTCTGCAACAGCTGAAACTTTCCAAGAGACAGCAGTCAAGGTACTGAGCCAGATACACTCTCTCATCCTCAAGCATCAGATATCTTCTAGGCATGTTCAGATGAATGGCATATTCTAGAGTTTAGAGGAAGAGAATGAGAAGACTTTTTTGGAAGGGCTAAACTTCATACGTCATTGTGGATCCCTTCATACCAAAGGAGGCTTCCTTATTGAATACTTCCAGTGCCAAGGCTGTTACTGTGGCTTACTGAAGGATAAGACTTGCATGAGAGTTTGCTTATAAGCCCCTTGACTAGAGCAAGTGAAATGGTGAATTTGAAATGGCCAGAAAACATTCTTAGCAAAGCCACAGGACATTACTTTGTTTGGGAAAATTCAAGGACATGTGACCCTGAATTTTTCTTGAGGAATGGAACAAAGCTCTAAAATCTCCTGTTGCAAATACAACAGCAGATGACTGAGCCTCAGACAACAGAATCAGTTTTCTGGACATATTTCTATTCACAAATTCTTCCGTGATTTTTTTTTTTTAACTAAATACCTCCTGAAAAGAAAACTGGTTACTTTCTAGTGTTTAGCCTAAAACTGCGCTGCAAGTCTGCATACGCCACGCTGGGCTCTGCAAAGCTGCAGCTTGGTGCACCCAAGGTCTGTGTCCCAGCGCCGCCCGGCAAACAGGCGATGGATGGAGCAGCCCCAGCCGCTCCTGAGCCACTGCCGTGGCACAAACAGGTTCTCTGTTCTCACAGGTGGGAAAATGCTTGTCCCAGTAGTGTTTGGACTTTCCATAGCTCCAGGAGTGCTTGTGGTGCTATAAATAGCAGCGGTGGGGCTATTCAGGGGTGCAGGGCTGTGAGTAACACTGTTTGAATAGTGCGCTCTCTGTGGTAGATTCATGTTTTTATTTCCAGCGTTTGCCCAGCATTTATAGTCTTCCCTTCCTGGAGTTCATGATGAATCTGGAAGGGAGCAGCTTTGCTTTCTCATTTTGTGAACTGGAACAACCCTGTACATTGGGACTCTTTACAGATCTCTGTCCAAAGGCACCCCAGAGCATAAAGCAATGTACTTTACCCTCCTTCTTTTTTCTTCGTTGCTTTAAAATATGCCTTTCACCAGATTAGCCTAAGTGGTAATTCTCTGCCAACTGTCTCTGAATCTCACCCTCCTACGTGTCATCTCTGACGGGGTAGAGTCTCCCCCTTCCTAAGCGCTGGGAAAGAGGGAAGACAAAGGCAGGAAAGCCTCTGCCGGAGGCTGTAGGGATGGCTGAAGTTAAAGCAGACGATGCCTGACCCGCTGCATGTGGCGGGTCACGCTGGAGCTCGGGAAGGTCTGAACCCAGCGCGGGATGTAGGGAAGCTGCCTCGTGTTCCCGCAGCTGCCACTGCCCACGGCTGGGAGACCTCCCTGCAATGATGCGTGTGGCTGCTGTGTGAGAGGCAGCAGAGGACAATGAAGTGAAACCCGGGATTCCTCCATCTCGGGATTGGAGCCGGGATTCCTCCAGCACAGCCTGGCATGCCAGGGGAGGCTGGGATCTGGCAGCAGGTAACACCAGCGCATGGCTCACACCGGGGAGGTGAAGAACAGGGACATGCCGGCTCTCTCCCTGCCCACACAGCTGATGCCCGAGACATCCCTTCTAACAATGAGCTCTCTTGGCAAGCAAATTGGAAAAAAACCCACAAAACCCATTGCAAAGGAGCTGACACAGATTAGATATTCAGGTAAAATATTCAGCAAGAATACCTCCTGCTGGGTTAGCTTGGGGAAAAAAAGCATGGAACAAAAATTCAGTGCAAAGGAAGAGTTCAGATTTTTAGATATGGATGCATGAATTTGAAAAGAAAGATGGAGCAGGGAGAAGAAAAATAATTCTAATTTTCTTTCTTTGAAGCCTGTTTCTTAAAGTAAGGAGGGCTCAAGAGTTCAATGTATGAGCTAAAATATAATGTGGAATGTAAGTCAGATATGCAGATGTAAGAGTATCTTTCAGGGTTGGATGTTTTGTAAAAGCTTACCTTTTTTTTTGTAAATAAATGGAGCTAAGAAGCCCTACTGGCACAGACCTCATCTAACACGAAACAGTCTAATTATTTCTCAAGATTTAATGGCTTTTAATGAGGATCTTAAACCTCAGTAATAGGAGTGGAAATATCCATTGGAAAACTTATTCTTAATTTTCTCAAAATACTGTAAAAATCCTAGCTTTTCAGTGGGATTGAAGTTGCCTTTGAGGAACAACTGGAAGCAGATAGCAGTATTAGAAACATCTTTGTAGAATTCAACAATGACATTTTTCCCCAGCTTTTCCCATGTGTTTCAGGTAGGTGCAGATTTATTAATGCAGACAAGAGTCACCAATTGCACCCTGAGAGAGCAGGTCCAGTCAAGCAGAAATCTAGTTTACATACCTTGCCTTCACCCCTCTGTGATTATTTTGCTCTCTATTAAACGCTTGGTTGGATTACTAATTAAAAAGGCAAAAAAAAAAAAAAAGGCTTTCCATTTGCAATTGTTTCAGGGCCTTAATTTCCTTGGAGGTCTAACAGTGTGTGCTGTTGACACAGCTCAAACATTCACATCTCAGTTATCCTGAAAAAGTGCTGCAAACAGGATAATGAACTTAACACGTGTATCAGCGTGGGAAGCCGGAGAGGCCGACTCCGACCTGTTGCACTCCTCCAGCAGCAAAGAGTGGAGGATCATGCCCTGCATGGGCACATCTGTGCAAACACACACTGCCATGCCTGTTGAGACATCCTGCCCTGCCCCACCGCTGTCCTTTGTCACATGGGGCTGTCACCAGCTTACGCTGTGGCCCACAGCCTTGCAGCAGGCTGAGTTCTGGGGATGTCTTGTAAGGCGACAGCTGTTTATCCACAGATGCAATGGCATGGGGGAGGAAAAGAAAGCTTTGTGGTTACCCCAGTAAAATCAGCGGAAGATACTGGCAGGTGTGAGACCATTTGGTGAAGGTGGCACAGAGGCCTCCCGTTGGGTTTGCCTTGTTTTAAAGCACATTGGCAGGTCTGTGCATGTGTGTGAGCTCTTACCTTCCCAGCCCATCTGAGCAGTCTCTGCCCAGCACACACCACTGCTACGGTGGCACATTTTATTTCCTCCTGCAGAGAACATGATCTAGTGGCTGTGGCCAATCTTCAGGAAAATGCAAGTCAAGAGCTTGTACAGCCGGACAGAACACAGCTTTCTACAGAGATAAGAAGTTGTAGGAGCAGGAAAGTGAAGCTACTCTCTGGTAAAAAATTCAGCATGCTTAATTTTGTAATTCAGTCCTGCGTTCCTCTGCCATCACATGGGAGGCTCCCAGCAAAGCATGCCTGAGCTGCTGGCCCTTGTACCAGTGGGATGTCCCACAGGAAAGGGCTCAGTGGAGAAAAACCAGCTGCCATTTAAAGCTCTTGGCTTCTCTGCCAGGGTCAAGCACAAGCTGCAGGATGTGTGACAGTAATTCTGGGGGCAGAACCCAGCGCTGGCAGATTTCAGATAGGCAGCCAGTAGCCTCTGTACCTCTTGTGTTCTTAGATCTTCCAAAGGGTCCTGAAGGGGATGCACATCTCTGACAGTTATTGATCACAATCCTCCAGCCTCTCCACATGTCTGACCCTGAGTCTGAGGGCAAAATGATGCAGGATAGGTGAAATCATTGCTTGGGGAGTGTCAGAGGATGCTATGTAAGAGACTCATGTGTTCATCCTCTAAATGTGCCAGTTTTGCTCAAAGTTCAGAAGACAACCTTGTTGTCACCTCTAAGGCAGCTTCTTTCCAGATAAGCTGCTACAAATGGCAATAAAATTTGCCTTCTTCTCTCCGCTTGCAAAATTTCTCAGGTCAGGGCAGCACCCTGAAGTCAGTCAAGAACTGCAATGCAAGACTGTGATTTCTGACTTGAGGGCTGCCTGCCTCTGACACCAGCTCTGCCCAAGGAGGGCTATGTAACCCTTAAATAACCTATCTGCAATCAAAAAACAACCCAAATCCAAGCCGCTTACATGCCCTCCCCATTCTCCATCTTGGCAGGAGAAATGGAGTTGGATTCAAATCAGAAAGGGAACAGGTTCTGCCTATCAAGCTGCCAGAGCAGTCATCACATTACATGGGATAGTTATTTACCTTGGAGTAACTGTGCAAGTGTACTCAGTTTTTGTGGAGAGAAATGGACTTGTAGTCAGTATTTCAGTTAATGTCCCAGTATCCAGGCTTCTGAGGGGAAGGCAGAAAGAATCCAGTGGTCATACGGTCACCCCATAGGCTGGTGGCTGTGACTCCTTGGTGATGCTTCCTCAGGTCCCCAAGGACAGTGCAGGTGGCCTAGAAAGTGGCCAAATGCTCCAAGTCCCCGTGCAAGCAGGGAGAAACAGACCTGCCCTCTGTGCAGTGTTTGAGGGATGGGAAGGAGTGGGAGGGAGGACAGTGTTTGCAGGAAGGGGATGGTGTCTGCTGATGAACAGATGTCATGAGGGACCACAGTGCTGGTGTGGCCAAGCTCAGCCCTGTGGCTCAGCACCAGAAGTGACAGATGCTCATTTGTGAGTCCAGCGTGCGTGGCACGTGCTTTTATAAATGTACACACTGCTCCCGGGCCGTGGTACTGATTTCACCCAAGTCAACTTCGAATTGCTCTAGTTCTGTTTACTGTAATAATTTCTTTCACTAGATCACTTCTCCTTTCACAAAAGGTAAGAACATTTTAACCAGATTATACATTAGTGGGCAAATACTCTAGGTTTTGTTACATAGTCTTTTTTACCTTTTCTTTTTTTTTTTCCATGCTGTTCAACCTGCTCCAAAATTTACATTGGGGGAAATAACTTCAAGAGCTTTTATTCTACCTACTTTTGCGCTATTGAATGCCAATACAACTGCAGATTTCTGTTTCATAAAAACAGGTTAAAGGCAATGTGGAGTGTAACCACCTTTGTGCCCAGCTGAAAGCTAATGGAATTCCATTGTTTCACTCTCCTGTGATTATAAAAACGCTGCCTTGTATTGCAGTCTGCAAAAGCATAAATAAATCTGTGTTTTTATATATGTAGATGGTTGATTAACTGTTTCAGAGAAATTAATATTTCCAGATTGCTCTGTCTGGGTATAGGAAAAATGTAATGAGTAATGCAAGTAAAAAAAAGCAGCAAAACAACAATTCTAACTATCCTACTTTAAAATATCAAATGTGGGCAAGAAAACAGGGTTTAATCAGTATTTGCTCCAGTGTCTATCAAAATAGGATTCCTTTTTTCTCTGTTGGGACACAGTTTATCAAGGCACAAGTGCAAGTAAATAGTGCGCTACAGGTCATTCCTTACTTTGAACTGTGGGTAACCAGCTTTACTGGGTGCTTGGATGTGACTCCTGCTGGTCCTTGATCAGGCAAAGGGTAAATGTAAGAGTAACTCTGCAGTCTTTCTGTCTGAGCTGATTTGCTGCACAAGTATATCACTAATAATAGAGCAGCTGAAGCCAAGGAGCACTGCAAAGCAAAGCAGGGATTTGCAGCAACCAGAAAGCATGGATTTAAACAGTCAGGAAGAGAAATAATTGGAAATTGCAGCACAATTTAGTCTTAATGTCAGGTGCAAAGCGTTAAGGAGCTAACCTAACAGCATGTGCTTGTGCACACTCATACAAAATGCTTAAAGGTTTTGTTGGCATCCATCTCAATGATCCCCAAATGCAGGTGGAGCAGAGACCTGTCCCAACAAGGCTCTGGACATCCCCACGGGTGTAGCTGGAGGTTAAAAGCTCTCAGCATCCTGCAGTGCCAGTCTCCTGTTTAGGATTGATTTGGCTACTCAAAGTTCTGTTGAAAATGCTTTGTTATTAAATCCATTTGGAGAGATGAGCTGTATTTACTAGACAGACACTCCTCCCATCATATGCACTGTCTTATTTTATGCACATAAGCTGTACTGACACTGGAGAAGACCACTTTTTTTGTGGGGGATTTTAGAAAATATATCAGTAACTTGAAAAAAAATGAAAGCCATTTCAACAGCCATTTGTCTTTCAGGACCTCATTGTCACCACTCCCTGCTACTCAGAGTCAGGAGAGGACTCTCTCAGTAGCTTCTATTCTGTTTTATGAGAGCTGAATGCTGGTTTCAGATCTCTGGTATGGCACTGCTTGATGCTGCTGGCTTTTCTGCTTTGGATCATCCATGTTTCAATTTGTTGCTCTGCTTGTAAAGAAAGAGCCTTTAAATGTGTCCCCTTTTCTCCAACTATCTTTGGGTTTCCTCAGTTTATTAACTATAGATGTATAAAAGCAGTGGTTTTTAGCTTAATTTTGTATTCAGAAACAAAAAGTGTTGAGTTGCTGTGGTTATGCAGGACAAATTTAAATAATATCTGTGGCAGACTGGCTTGGAGAAACATTCAGAGTTAGAGCTAGAATAAAGACAGCAGAACAACAATGCATAGGCTTAAAAGCACAGATTCTTTCTCCTTGAAGAGTATTCACTACTTTTAACACTTTGAGGGCTGTTAAAATACCAATCTGATGGCTGTGCCACTGCTG